TTTTCTTTTTTTATTTGATGTGTACCACATGTAAGGAGGGCAAAACCATCCAAAACCAACGTCTGACACTGGAAAAAACGACGCTGAAAAGAGGGAACCGTGACGGAAGTGCATTCGAGCGACCCTATAAAAAGGGTAATGATAAAACTGAGTAAGCTCGAAAAATAAGAGCAAAACCCGTGGGTAAGAAACAACCATGGCAGACGGGGTATGTCATATGGGCATTATCACATTTGTTTTGCTATTTTGGGAACATGCTATACCCAAGATGGAGATGAATATGCGCTTGGACTTCTGAACATGGGCTTGAGTATTTTTTATGCTGGTACTTTGAGCATTATACCAACTAACCAAGCAAAGAGGCATAGTATGTTTTTTTTGTTTCTTGTTGAAGCCAACATGAGTGCTAACTTCTCGTGACACACATGCCGTTTCTTTTTTTTCGTGTTTGTTTTGTGGTGCTTTCAATTTGGCGCTTCAGGCGCCTGTTATATGCCATTTTGCAAACGGGTGCTTGAAGGGCACACTTCTCTTGCAAGCTGGGCAGGCCCATGTATCTTTTCTTTTAAAACACGATAATTGTGCGTGTGTGCTCAGAATCTAACTGGCCACCTCCTTTTTTGAAATACGATGCACTAACCATCCGGCACACAACCTCACATGATTAATTTTATCTTTTCCTTCTTTTCTTCTTTCTACCTTTTTTCCTTTTTCCTTTTCCTTTTTATCTTTTCATTTCATCTTTTTTGCTAAATGCCTGAACTTTTTGTCCAAACTGATGAACTTTTCTTCAATATCGATGAACTCTTTTTACAATTAATGAACTTTTTTCAGATTCAATGAACCTTTTCTTTGAATTCGATGAACTCTTTGAAATTTGGTGAATTTTTTCGATGAACTTTTGTCAAATTCAATTAACTTTTTTGAAAAATCGATGAACATTTTCACATTTTTTTGAAAATTTTCCAAAATAGAAGAACTCTTTTCCAATTTGTGATCATTTTTTCCATATTCATAAACTTTTTTTTCGAAATCAATGAACTTTTTAAATTCGTGGTTTTCATTTTTATTAATTCTTTTTGAAATTTAAACTTTCTCTTTTTAATTAATTTATACTGGTTATATAGTACTCCATCCGTAAAGAAAATACTCCCTTTGTTCCACATTGTAGCGCGTATAGATTATTTGAAATGTTAAAATCTTAAACTTTGACGAAGATTGTAAAGGAGAACATATTCATCTAGAATACCAAATCCATATCCTTAGATACATCAAAAGACGTACTTTCACATTGTATATATTTGATATTATTGATATAAATAGTTTTCTCTATAAATTTGGTTAAAGTTTATAAAGTTTGACTTCCTAAAAATTCTGTATGAAATATATGATGGAACAGAGGGAGTATAAATTTTGATTTCCCGACTGTCTACTACAACATGTTTTGCCCGGCTCCGACGAGGGAGGGGCGATGACAGCGAAACACCCTCGGCTAGCTTCAGTGCTTGTAGTCGTCTCTAGGTGCTCTAGGGATCTGGTTGTAGTTTTTATTATTTTTATAGTTTGTTGTAATACCATGATTGAAGATGGATAGATATGAAGTTTCCCGCAAAAAATAAATCACTACTATGATGATCTAAATGCTCTTATATTTCTTTATGGAGGGAGTATATGTTATGTGCAGTACTTAAAGGGTTACCAGTAACCACGGCAGGGCATCACTCGACAGTGTGGTGCTGAGTTCGGTTCCTCCTTCTGACATAATTTTTTCTTCCCGTTTTCTTTTCAGCATGTTGTCGGGCCGGCCCACTAGGCACCGCGTGCGAGCGCCAGCACAGGAGCGCCGAACAGGAGCACCCTTCCTTTTTGTTGAGCAGGTGCAAGATGGGCCTTTTTCCGTGTGTTATGACTTTCTGGGCTTTGCTTCAAACGGTTGTATTTTTTGCAGAGCATTATTCTTCGGAACAACTAATTAACGAGCGCTCCTTCGGGAGCCTCGCAACGATCAACGCCACTTGACGCACTCACAGCCATTCGCCACGTGTCGCGCTCTGGGCACTCCCTCCGGATTTTGTTTTTTTAATTTTTACGCACGCGTTTTCGGCTTTTTAAAAGTTTTTTTTTCGGTTTTTTAACGTTTTGGTTTTCTAGCGGTCTTCCCTAGCTTTTCGACCAAATTTTTTTTTCAAAAAAAATAACTTTTTTGCGCAAAAAAATGCAAATTTTTTTTCGCGAGAGTCACGATTTTGTTTTCGCGAGAGGCATGGTTGTACTTTCGCGAGAGGCACGGGCGTGCCTCTTTCGGAAAGGGAAAAAATGCGTTTTTTATTTTTTTTTCTTTCGCGAGAGGCACGGTTTTGCTTCCTCCAGAGGCACGGTTGTGCTTTCGCGAGAGGCACGGACGTGCCTCTTTCTGAAAGGAAAAAATGGCGCGTTTTCTGTTTTTTTCTTTCGCGAGAGGCACGGTTTTGCTTCCTCCAGAGGCACGGTTGTGCTTTCGCGAGAGGCACGGGCGTGCCTTTTTCGGAAAGGGAAAAAAATGCATTTTCTGTTTTTTTTTCTTTCGCGAGAGGCACGGTTTTGGTTCCGCCAGAGGCACGGTTGTGCTTTCGCGAGAGGCACGGGCGTGCCTCTTTCGGAAAGGGAAAAAACCCGTGTTCCCGGTTTGTTTTTTTCGTCGGTTTTTTTCGTCCGGTTTTTTCGTGAAAAAAAAGTTCGTCAAAACCTATCAACATGGGATCTAGTTTTGAAGATCTCGACGCGAGGAATCCAATGGCGAAAGCGGTTCGAGATTTAGACGCACGGTTTAAGAGATAAAACATTTTAAATAAACGGATCTACGAAAAAAGGGAAAACTCCCAGATTGCGACAAGTGGCGCACAGACAGCGCGCCACTTGTCGCAACCTGGGGAAGTTGGAGTGATCTTCGCAAGGAGTACTCCTTAATTAGTGATTTCGATTATTCTTGTTTGCCTGTAATTAGGGGGTATAGTCAGCTAATTGCACGAACGGCCTATTATGTGGTTTTATTATTAAAAACTAATTTAATTTTTTATTTTAGTTTTTTATTTAATTTTTTCAATAGAGGTGTTTTGATTATTATTTTTCAAACGTGCCACTTTGGTTGCATGCCATCACAATGTGCAAACTGCATGTATGATACCTGACATGTACCAAACAGGCGATGTGTGAAACTAGGGGGTGTGCGGTAGTTGTGGTTATCATTGTTTATATATTCTTTCTTTTCTATTTTTGTTTATTTTATATTTTTTGTGTTCCTCGGTTGTTTTTTCCTACTATAAATAAGGTGTCATTTTTTGCAAAGACGGACCTGAGTTGCATGCCACCCACATGCAATTGTATCTGTTGCGCTGCGAATTCAACTGCAAGCGGCACAACGTGCACCCAACTGGGCGTCACCAGATGTCGAGTGTGTGCGGCAGACCGGTAGACATATTTTTTATTTAAATTGTTTTGTTTCTATTTTTTACATATATTTTGTTCTTATTTTTATTTTATTTTTTGTTTGTTGGGTTCACTTTTTTATTTTTAAAGATTTTCATTTATCTATATTTCTTTTCAATCCTTTTATAATTTTCTTTTGTGTTTTGTCTTTACTTTTTATTTATTTTAAAAATATGAGTGTTTATGTTTTTTCTTTTGGAAAATGTGCAACCACTTGAGCGTTCGTCTCACACATGCAACTACATATGATGCACCACGTATGCAACGACAAGCGGCACGACTATATTTGTCGCCCAACTGCAACTTCATGTCTTAAATACGACTATAATTTGGTGGTGTTTTTTCAGGGTTGGGGGAGGGGATGGGGTTGTTACATATCTGCCACTAGGCATACATTTGTGACTGCATGCCTTCAATATGACTGTAATTTTAATGGTGTTTTGTTAGGGGAGGGGTCAATTACGTGTCTACCACTAGGCATGTAACTGCATATTTTGTCTCCAACTGCAACTACATGTCTTCAACACACATGCAACTTAGTCGTATTTTGTCGGGGAGGGGCAGTTGCATGTCTGCCACTAGATACGCAATTGCAAGTGTCGCCCACAACCACAATCAACCGGTGTTTTGTCTTGCACGTTTATCAATAAGCATGCAACTGCAATTGTCGCAGCCTTCTACAACCGCATGTCTTCAACGCCGCTGCAACTCTATGGTGTTTTGTTGGTGGAGGGGACAATTGCATGTCTATCACTACGCGCGAAACTATAGTTTGTCGCGCTCGACTACAACTCTGTGGTGTTTGGTCGGAAGGGACAATTGCATGCCTGTCACTAGGCATGTAACTGCAAGTGTCACCGACCTGCAACTCTGTGGTGTTTGTCAAGGGTGCGACGGCGGCAAACTTGCCACTAGGAGGGGCCTGCACATTGAGGACGTCTCATTGTTTTACTTTTTTTCCTTCATTATTTTTCCATGTTTTTACTTTTAATACATTAATATTTTAAATACGTGATGGGCATTTTCATATCTTCATTATGAATAGTTATTTAAATACGCGATGAACATTTTCTTATACACATGATGAGTATTTATTGAAATACGCAATGAACATTTTATATATGCCATGAAAATTAAAAAATGCACGATGAACATTTCATAATACACAATGATTTTTTCATATGAATACACGGTCAATATTTGTATACATATTAGGTGATACAAATATAGGACGGCCATTTATAAACACACACGAACAGTTTCAATATCCTGATCAATTGAGATTGTAATAACTTTTTCTTCTTAATTAATACAGTAGTTAAAAAAATTGAATTATAATCTTATATTCCCCTTAGGAAATCTTGATTAGCACCAAAAACGAAAAATATTCTTTTGAAATTATATGTAATGTAGAGAAACTCTTAAATTGCTTTGCATCCAAACGGGGCAAGCGGTCAAATACATGTAATACAAGCATAAGAAAAAAAGAATCAAGTTCGACTAAAGCAGTGTCCGAAGCATGATTTTGGGAGTACCGCTCAAGACGTCGCTTGAAGAAGGGGACCAGCTCGAGCGATGGGCTTTGGCTGAAGAACTCGAGCGTGTCGCCAATGACGGGGAAGCCCCTCGACCCCGGCGGCAGCCTTGCAGCTGCCGCCCCTGCTACCTTGTATGGGCTACTGCTGTTCCATCTCATCAATAGCAAATGGATCAGCCGGGCAGCTAGCACGGCCATGAGCAGGAGAGCTAACCAAGGCATGACCACAGCCACAGGCACACTTAGCCTAACCATTTGGGTGACTAGCTAACTGTGTACTAAGATGGGAGTCGTCCACTAGTTCTGCATCTGCTCTATTATAGAGACGATCAGGCGCAATCCTATACGTCAACTAGTTCTGCATCTGCTCTATTATAGAGACGATTAGACGCAATCCTATACGTATGGACTAGCACATCTCACGGGATTAGCGCATCTCCAACTAGGGATGTCAAGTGGGTCCTGTTTAATCTCGTTTAAAGTCCACTTATGATACGATAGTTCAAAAAGGTTTTTTGTTTGTTTGAGAAAAATGAACTATCATAGTAGCAAAAACTAACTAAACGGGATTGCGGACGCAATTTATTTTGCCACTTACATCCCTATCTCCAAGCGTCCGCATTCGTCTGGACCAAGCTTTCTGGATGTGTTTTGCCGTTCGATGCGGTATCCCATCCGTCCCCTGGTAGGTCCAGAGTCTATTTTTCCACAAATCGAAAGTAAACAGGGGAGGGGCTTTGTGGGAGTCCAGACTGCTGTCACACACACATGTCCGACACCTGAGACCCACTCAAAATCCTCTCCCGCGTCCAAACCCTCTCCTGCGTGAAGTGGTTGCCGTGCATTCATGCCGCTCAAGAGCGCCAGTGCCGCATTCATGTCGTCCCAGAGCGGATGCGACCTCTTAGGTCGCTCTGGCCGAGGCGCATGTTCAATGTCAGAGTGACATGAGAGGACAGGACAAGTATCTAGTGCATTCAAATGGGCAGCCTGTCCATCCACCTGCCGGCATTAAACATGCACGCAGCGGATAAATCGACTCTGGCATTGGCATTGACACACCCTGCCGCTTGGCCCGACCGGCATCCGATATATATACGAGGCCACACCTGGCACAAACCGCACCACATCACCATCCCGCTTCACATCCTCCTCCACCTCCACCATGACCGCGAGCTCTAGCATGTTGTGGGACAGCCTCTTGACGAGCAGAAGCACGAGGTGGTCACCCTTGCGACGGAGTAGCAAGGCCGCCATACGGGGCGGATAGAGGTCGGCCTTTCGGCCTGCTCGCGGAAGGTCTCCGACGATGAAGGCAGCCTTCGGCGATGAGTCTGAAGTCCTGCCCGCGTCGTTCCATGCCATCTTGACCATGGAGCGGGACGGTGATGTGGTGAGAATGAGTAGTCGGTGAAGGAAATATGCCCTAGAGGCAATATTAAAGTTGTTATTTTATATTTCCTTATATCATGATAAATATTTATTATTCATGCTAGAATTGTATTAACAGGAAACTTCATACATGTGTGGATACATAGATAAAACACTGTGTCCCTAGTAAGCCTCTACTAGGCTATCTCGTTAATCAAAGATGGTTAAGTTTCGTAACCATAGACATGTGTTGTCATTTGATGAACGGGATTACATCATTAGGAAAATGATGTGACGGACAAGAGCCATCCGTTAGCATCGCAATTGATCGTTCAGTTTTATTGCTATTGCTTTCTTCATGTCAAACACATATTCCTTCGACTATGAGATTATGCAACTCCCGGATACCGGAGGAATGCCTTGTGCTATCAAACGTCACAACATAACTGGGTGATTATAAAGATGCTCTACAGGTTCTCCGAAGGTGTTTGTTGGGTTGGCATCAGTGGCGGAGCTAGGGGACTGAACCAGGGTGGGCCAGCAATACTACTGTACATATACATTGATTTTTAAAAAGAAAAATTAGCATTTCTCCTATGGTATAGAACCTATTTCCAAATCTCAGGGTGGGCCATGGCCCACCCTGGCCACCCTCTACCTCCGCCACTGGTTGGCATAGATCGAGATTAGGATTTGTCACTCCAAGTATCGGAGAGGTATCTCTGGGCCGTCTCGATAATACACATCATAAGAAGCCTTGCAAGCAAAGTGACTAATGAGTTAGTTGCAGGATGATGTATTATGGAACAAGTAAAGAGACTTGACGGTAACGAGATTAAACTAGGTATGAAGATACCGAGGATCGAATCTCGGGCAAGTAACATACCGATGGACAAACAGAACTATGTATGTTGTCATAACGGTTCGACCGATAAAGATCTTCGTAGAATATGTAGGAGCCAATATGGGCATCCAGGTTACGCTATTGGTTATTGACCGGAGATGTGTCTCGGTCATATCTACATAGTTCTCGAACCCGTAGGGTCTGCACGCTTAACGTTCATTGTCGATATAGTATTATATGAGTTATATGATTTGGTGACCGAATGCTGTTTGGAGTCCTGGATGAGATCACGGACATGACGAGGAGTCTCTACATGGTGGAGAGGTAAAGATTGATATATAGGACGATGGTATTCGGACACCTGAAGTGTTCTGGAGTACATTGGGTACTCATCGGGTCACCGGAAGGAGTTTCGGGCACCCCCGGCAAAAGATATTGTCCTTATGGGCCAAGAGGGGAAATGCACCAGCCACAAGGGGCTGGTGTGCCCCCACTATGGGCCGGCCTAAGTGGAGAAGGAAAGGGGAGGAGGAAAGGAAAGAGAGGGAATATGATTCCCCCTTCCTCTTCCACCTCTCCCCTCCTTCCTCCCCCTTCCATATACAAGGAAAGGGGGCGCGGGGCATGGCAGGGCCCCTAGGGGGCGGCGGCCAAGCCCTAGGGCACCCTGGCTGCCTCCCTTCCCCTCCCACCTATATATATGTGGGGAGGAGGCGACTCATAAGCACACATCATCAATTGTTAGCCGTGTGCGGCGCTCCCCTCCACAGTTTACGCCTCCGGTCATATTTTCGTAGTGCTTAGGCAAAGCCCTGCGCGGATCACTTCACCATCACCGTCACCACACCATCGTGCTGACAGAACTCATCTACTACCTCGACAACTTGCTGGATCAAGAAGGAGAGGGACCTCACCGAGCTAAACGTGTGCATAACTCAGAGGTGTCGTACGTTCAGTACTCGATCGGTGGATCGCGAAGAAAGTTGGACTATATCAACCGCGTTGTGAAACGCTTCCGCTTACGGTCTACGAGGGTACGTAGACACACTCTCCCCCTCGTTGCTATGCATCTCCTAGATAGATCTTGCGTGAGCGTAGGAATTTTTTTGAAATTGCATACTACGTTTCCCAACAGTCGGCGCCATGACAGAGCAGTAGCCGATGCCGCTGCTGGTGTCAGCGCTCCGACAAACGCAGGAGGAACAATGGTACAACCACTTCCTCCTCGAGCAGCACCGGCTGACGGAGGGCTAGATCTGTTGGGAAACATAGTAGAAAAAAATCGACCTACCTAGCATATCCTAGGATCACTATGAAGAACGTGCTTACAAGGTTAGATATGGTCTTACGGACTATCGAGTTGCAGTGGAAGAAAAGTTGGTGAATATCGTGTTCTCGTCGTCCCGCATACTAATCCCTCAAACTAGAACCGAACGTACGGCTCCTCTATCGGGTTCCACACATAGGAATCCTTTGATCTAGGGGACCTGAGGCTCTATAGGGAAGTTGTGTACAAAGGAGGGCGCCCTGGTGGGTATTTATAGGTGGAAGGGAGGCATCCTGTCTTGAGGAGGGTCTCCCCCCTAGGTGCGGCCACCAAGGGAGGTGGGACTCCTCCCAACCCTAGTTGCACCCTCCACTTGGAGGGAAGGCAAGGTAGGTATGTCGCCACCTACATGGGCCCAAAGGCCCATGTGGCTGCCACTCCAATAGGCCTAGCCTATACTGGGTAGCCCATGGCCCCTACATATGCTCCGGGGGCTCCCGGTTAATATCGGAGCCCTCCTAAATATATATTAGGTCCTCTGACACTATTTCCACCTATCCGGTTAACTCGTCTTTCTCTAAACGTTTCCCGTTTTCTCAAAACACATCTGGCTCTCTCTTGAAACAATATTAGTTGTCCCCAAAAAATTTCCAGTGGCATTCTTCATTACTCTGAAGTTAGTTACTACTCAAAAGATCAAATTCATTTTAAGTGCATGACCCTGCAAGTTTGGTGAGATGTAGATATGAACAAAACTTCCTTTCGTTCAGTGATCAACTGCAGAACCATGGACATCCATATTGACCCCTATACTCACACAAATGATATCCGAATGAACATATGGTTACCATATGTTGTTCCCTTTGCTTCATGGTACTTTACAAAACACTAGGTGAGATAAGGCGGTATCCTCTTGAGTCATTCTCATCTCATTATACCGGTCTCGTCGCTATCGATTTTGTTCTTCTTTCTCATTATCATGTTCTAGCATCCATGTGAGTAAGTCACCAATGGCTGGCCAGACGATGATGAATGTCGTCACACCGAGAAGGCCCTAAGAATATTTCTCCATCCTCGGAGGAGAAAATCCCATTCTTGAGCTATCTTGCCCCTTTTCACACTTTCCAATAAACGTGTAAGTTGTCGTTATTATGACTGTGTTACCGATGACGTTGGAGTGTTAATTAAATATAATAGGTTATCCGGCTAAGGTCGCGAGGGCAGGCCAGACAGTCGTCCAGACAGCTAATCATATTCACTTTCCCATTATAATTTTTAAAGGGATAATTAGTTTTATGCCCCTAGTTGGGTCACACTCGACAATTTTACCCCTAGTTTCCAAAACACTTGTTCCTGCCCAAAGCACTTTGCTCGTCTTATGCTTTTGCTCTTTGACTGTTTGACTGTCACTTTGAAATCTTCATAAAAAATTCGTACTAACTAAGAAAAATGGAAAATATCAAAATGTTCAAAAAACATCACATATATCACTACTACAAGGTCCTAACACGACACATGTATAAGAGACAAATCGACCAAACTGTGTGCGACCCATGAATCACCAATGGTATGGTAATAAAACCGTCACCAATAAAATGAACTATGTGCGATGGCCGGTCCATCAAGAACGATTCAAATTAGGATTGCGTGTGCGAATCATGGTACATAGTTGATCCATACGAACTATTTACGATGAGCCATAAGAACACAAACGATTAACTAGGACAAGATGTCTGCGATAGATGACATACATGTCACTTGGATGAACTATTT